TCTGATGTGATGAAGGGCTGGGATACTAACTAGGAGTGAATGTTACAATAACCCAAACCATTGACTTGCCAAGAAAGGCTAAGGCTGCATCAGGCCACTGAGCTGGTACCTGGTTGCTCTAAGTTTCCACGTTTGTCCTTCGGAGCTCTTAGACCTCCAGGATTGCTGATGGAAGAGGGCTACCCGAGAGCTCACTGAACTGGAAGTGGAGTCTTCCCCCTCACTCCAGCAGCTCCCTTTTTCTTTCTATGGCAAGTCTTTCCCTTAATGATGAGATGAACTCTAGACAATTTCCTGTGAAGTTTCTGAATCCTAGTTTGCTACCAATTTCTAGAGTAAGAGCTGAAATGGGATGCCATGTAAAAAGTCCCCCAACAACTGAATTGGTAGCTTTTTTATTTTTATTATTATTTTTTGAATTGGTAGGTTTTAGCACCAAGCTTGTTGTCAGAGGCATTGTTCCCATAGAGCAGTTCATATTTCAAAGAACCAAGTAATCCCATTTTCTCCAGCAGAACGAAAATATGTCACCTGGGTCTAGAGATATCTGAAAGTGTGCTGTGTGCTGTCTCTTTTTTTGTTGGAGTGTTTGTGTTTGATGGAGCAAAGTTGCCATATCAAACTTGACCAGCAGGGCTATTCGACCCATGATCTATTGTAACCTGAAACTAATGGCCTTCATCACCTCTGCAAATTTGAAATTCCATGTGCCATAATTCTCCCCTGCAATGGACTTCAAGCCAGTCCATAGAGATGGGGCTTACTGGTTACTGGAAGCCTGTGTTAGGAGCCTATTTGTCAGAATGGGCTTTATGTGAGAAGAACATTCTGCAGAGGGTCATCCTTTGGTTGCAAACGCATGTCTCCATCTCCCAGCACTTATTTTCTCATGGCTCAGGTCCATTCCCTATCGATTACCTCACTGGCCACAGAAATTTGTATTCAGGAGAAATAAAGCATGAAGCACAGAAGGAACATATTTGCCTGTGTTTATTGACTTCTGTTGACGGAGTGACCCAACCTTGGGCAAGGTAATCAGCTTCTCTGGGCCTCAGTTTCTTTACTTGTAAGATGAGCGGGCTCAACTAGGTGATTCCCAAGGATGTGCCAATTTGTAGAACTCTAATATAGTAGAACACAATCACAGGTTATTTTCTGATCTCACATTTGCTCGTTGAAACTACAATTTTATGTTTGGAGGCAAGGAATGGATGTTATTTAGTAACCAGATATGCTTATCGATTTATTTGTTTGTGTTATGTAGATAGAGTTGTACAATGGAAGGCAAAATACCTTGGCACCCTGTGTGGGTGGGAACAGGGAGGCACCGAACCCTACAATCAAAACTGGGTGGGGTTGCAGTTGATCAGTTTGGCTAAAAGTCTCCATCACACTGGTCCTAGAGTTGTGAGCAGGGGTCTGTGTTCAGGTTCGCAAGGGCGTTTGTGAAAGATGCTGTAAGGTCTTCCATCCAGACCCTGCCTCCTGCTGCTGGGGCTGCAGCTCCTGACAAGGGCTCCTATCTGCCCTGAGATCAGGAGGACGCCCTTGCTCCTTAGACGGCTGGAGGTGCCTCTCTAGGAGATATCTGAGACGTTATACACCTCCCCACCGCCTGGGGGCAGCCAGGGGCCAGCAACTGACTGACCCAGGTGCACAAAATGCCAGACATCTCAAGACCACAGAAATTAGGGTGCCATTTTTCACACTCCTGAGCTTTCCATGGGGTCAGACTGAGCTCCGCGTCTCCCCCAAACCCGACTTTGCTTATGTCTTCTTCCTTCCCTATCCTGCGTCCCTCCCTGCCTTCTAGGCTTTTCCTGAGTTCGTCATCCCGTCAATAAATTCCCTGGATGAGGAACCTTGTCTCAGGCTCTGCTAGGGAACCCAACCTATGTATTGATTCGTCTCTGCTTCTCCATCTATTTGACAAAATGGAGAATCACTTAGGCACATGAGCTGTGTGTCTGACTTGGAGCGAAGGGAAATACCAATTTCCAAAGTCTTATAAGCCCCAGTCTCTCCAGATGTGTCCTCTTCTGGGGTCTGTAACAATTTCCAAGGGAGACTTTTCATAACTCAGATGAGCATCTCTTTGATTGAGATTCATTATTCTAGGCTCAGTTGTTTATTCCTCTTTGGAACTTTTTGTCCAAGGAAAGCCCTTCCCAAAGTTGCCTGTGCCCTAAGGGCTGAGCTATTCTATTCTTGAAGCTCCTGCATACCCCCTGGTCCCCACCCACCACCACCCCCACCCCAGGCTGCTCACACCCTAGCTCTCACCCTTACCAACACCTGCCTTCTCGTCTTTTCCCAGTTCCACTGTCTCTGAGAGCGTCCCTTTCTTGCCCTCCTCCCAGCCTTCACTGGATGGGCCTCAGTCTGGCTTCAGGCCACAGGGAGGAGGCAGCTGCCTTGGATGTTGGCAGTAGTTCGGCTCATCCATAAAGCAGGAGGCAGTGAGAAATGTATGGCTGACCAGGGGTGATGCTCCTCATATGTCACAGAAACCATGAGTGATGAGGAGCGCAGGGAAGAACTGAGAACTGTTTAGCCTGAAAAGGGAAGCAGGTGACCCAAGGCTGGGGGGTTGCCGTCTTCATGCACTTAAAAGGTCCTCCTAGGGAAGAGAGATGAGGTTTTCTTTTTGAGAGGCCAGAGGGCGGTGTGGGTACCCATGGGTGGGAAGTTATTCACAGAGGTGGTATCAGCTGCTTGGAAGGAGCCATCCTGAGACCACCCATGCTCTGTAGCTGAGGCCACACAGTCGCTTAATTGCGATGCCGTAGAGGTGGATCAATGTCACATAAAGAGTTGGCTGTAATGACCTCTACAGTTACTTTCAACTCTGAGCATCTTTGATTTATTTCCTTTTGGAACAGATATTTGGGGTCAGAGGTGAGGGCCACTGACAGATGGCTTTGAGAAGAATCGATAATAGAGGCAAGCTAGCACATGCAGCTTGCTACACCCAATACCGTGTAGCTTTGAGGCTGAGAGTTTCAAGAGTGAGGAATAAGGATGCTGCTGCCAGAAAATCCCTGGAGACAGAAGGCGCTCAGTTTATCCAGAGAGAGAGCAAGATGTGTGTGGGTGGTGGTCACCAGGGCTTGGAGTGGCTGCTAAATGATCTGGCCTCCCCAAGGGAATCTGTGCAGCTTCTGGAAAAGTAGTTCCCAGGACAATTCATTGTAAATTCTGAGCACTAGTGCCAGTCTCAGAAAGCAGATCTTGGATGTGTTTGGGCCTGGCCTGGTTTCCGGTGGGGGCAGGAGAGACAAAGAGGTACTTGAGCTAGAGGTTACTCTAGGGCTTCCCTGGAGGCTCAGTGGTAAAGAATCCACCTGCCAAGGCAGGAGACATGGGTTCGATCCCTAGTCTGGGAAGATCCCACATGCCAAAGAACAACTAAGCCTGTGTACCGTAACTATTCAGCCTGTGTTCTAGAGCCTGGGAGCTGAAACTACTGAGCTCATGTGCTGCAGTTACTGAAACCTGTGAGCGCTAGAGCCCGTGCTCCACGACCAGAGAGGCCACCACATTGGGAAGCCTTCCCTGCTCATTGCAACTAGAGAGAAGCCCGCACAGCAGTGAAGACCCAGCACAGCCAAAAAGAAAAAAATAAAAATAAATAGGTAAAGAAAATTATTTAAAAAGGGTACCTCTAGAATGGGTGGAGTTAGCGATAGCCCCAGTTACGGAGGCTGAGAAGGCTAACCTGGCTGGGAGAATGCCCTGCCTGGGAGTACCAGGGTGTTATGGCAAGTGTGGGGAGGATGTCGGGGCACTGGTACCAGAGGTAATTACACAGTCAGATATTTTAGCCAACTGTGGATTTCAGTGACTGATAAGTGTGGGCTCCAGGCTTGCATAGCTATGATTTTTTGATTTATAAGAAAGGCATATTTGGTCTTCATTTGCTGGTTCCTGGTACAAGAGATTGAAAACCTTTGGAATACCTGGAGGGGTTGGGTGAAAGGAGTATTTTTAAGAAATTGTTTTAAAGTCTTTACTGAATTTGTTGCAATATTGCTTCTGTTTTATGTTTTTGGCCGAGAGGTGCAGTGTAATTTTAGCTCTTTGACCAGGGATTCAACCCTCACCCTCTATATTAGAGGACGAAGTCTTAACCACTGGACTGCTAGAGAAGTCCCAGGAGCATCTTTTATTATTCCTAATAAGGCCGTTTCAACCAGACCTGAGTTTATGCTAAAGAAGTAAATCTTGCTGGCCGCCTGGACGGCTTCAGGATGAGGTCTGGTTTCTATCAGTTATGTGATGAGAAGGTTGGAAATTGAGCTAATCACCAGTGGCCAATGATTTAATCAACCCCGCCTATGTAATGGGACGTCTCCATCAGAACCTCTGAATGAAGGGGTTCAGAGAACTTCTGGGCTGGTGAACATGTGGAGGTGCTGGGGGGCTGGCATACCCAGGGAAAGGGTGGGACTTCGGTTCCCTTTATGCTATACCCTGTCCCAAGATCCTCTTCCATCTGCCTGTTCTGGAGTTGGGTTCTCTGAAATAAACCAGCCAGAGTAAGAGAACTTTTCCTGAGTACTGGAGGCCATGCTAGCTAATTATCAAGCCCGAGGAGGGCGTCATGGGAACCTTGATTTATAGTCAGCTGGTATGAAGTACAGGTGTCTTGGAGACTGGCATCTGAACTGGGGACCATCTTATGGGTCTGAACCTTTCATCTTTGGGGTTTGCCCTAACTCTGGGTAGTTAGGGTCAGAATTGCTTGGTATGAGGGGAAAACCCACCCGCTTGGTGTCAGAAGTGAACTGTTCTGTGACTTAAACAAACGAATCTTAGTAATGACCTTGTGCAAATTACTTCTCCTCCGTTTCCTCATGTATTAAACAATAATTATACTGGTACTTACTATATACGATGGTGTGCTGCATGAATGAAATAATAGAAGTGAACCTTTGAGCTTCGGGCCAGATGTGGAGTGTCAATATTTTGTTGCTGCTGTAATTTTTATTATTACTAAGGTGAAGTGGAAACAAAACTTACTGACATCTGAGAGCCAAAGATTTTGGGGGGAAATCCACGTTGATGTTTGTGAATTCCAAGAGTATGGGGATGAGGCTGTGAACAAGCCAGGCACCCAGATCCTGCTCTAAGCTACTAGAGACACCCAGAATATGTCAAAAATAGAATTCCTCCCATTTGACCAAAACTATGTAGTTTACAAAACCCGTTAATAATTGCTAATGTTTTCTGAATGCATGCTACATCTCAAATCCTGTCCTTTACCTGGGACTCAGTCTCTATTTGTAACTCTGTTTTTTTGGTAGGGAAGAAAATTGAGGCTGAGAAAGGTTAAACGACAAGCCTGAAGTCACTTAGCTAAGAATTGGTGGAAGTGGTATTTGAACCAGGTACTCTGGCTCCCAGAGAAGGCAATGGCACCCCACTCCAGTACTCTTGCCTGGAACATCCCATGGATGGAGGAGCCTGGTAGGCTGCAGTCCGTGGGGTCGCTAAGAGTCGGACACGACTGAGCGACTTAGCAACAGCAGCAACTCTGGCTCCAGGTCCTCCAGGCTTCCTAAATGCTGTTTGGTCCTCGCAGTAACTCTGAAAGCAGAAAAGGTAGCAGTGTGTCTGTTTCGGCGTTGAACATGTAAGGCTCAGAGAAGCTCAGTGACAGATGCAGGGTCACGCAGCAAGAGAGTGGTTCCTTTGAGGATCAGAGTTCCTGCCTTCTGACTCCCGTTGCGGGTTCTCTTTGAGGACATCGAGCTTGTTTGTGTAGGGCTGAGTGAAGTCAGGCTATTCATCTGTGAGTCTTCAGCTCAAAGGACTTGAAGTTTAGGCTGAAGTTTCTACCATGTCTCTTGTATCTTTCTTGGGGAACCAGGAACCTGGCAGCTCCCAAGGGTTGAATGAGAGCAGGAGAGTGGGGTGCAGCTGTCCATGTAGCCCCCCCATCTCTTACCTGCATCCCTCACTTTTGTGCATGTAAACTGAGAGAAGAGGTAAAGGCAGCCCAGCTCTCTATGACTGAAGGCAAATGAGGGTTTTTTTCCCTTAATTTTGTTGAAGTATAGCTGATTTACAATGCTGTGTTAATTTCTGCTGTATAGCACAGTGATTTATTTTTCATACACACACACACACACATACATCTCTCTCTATATATATATACACACACACATATACACATAGATTCTTTCTCTGTTTTTTCAACTATGGTTTATCATAGGATTTTTAAATTTTATTTACTTATTTATTTTCATTAAAGAAAAAAAACGGAATGCCTGTTATGTGCTAGGCACTGAGCTAGATGCTGAAGATACATAGATGAAAAAGCCAGCTGTCACCTTTAGGAAAAATGTTTACCTAGGGAGCCCATTAAGTCCCAGATCACTGTAGGGTGTATGCAATGACATAAATGCATGCATGGACTCATACTGTGCTCAGTCACTCAGTCGTGTCTGACTCTCTGTGATCCCATGGACTGTGGCCTGCCAGGCTCTCTGTTCGTGAAATATCCCAGGCAAGAATACTGGGGTGCATTGCCGTTTCCTTCTCCATTAAGTTTGTTTTAAATTGAAGGATAATTGCTTTACAATATTGGTTTGATTTCTGCCATACATCAGCATGAATCAGCCACAGGTGTACATATGTCCCCTTCCTTTTGAACCTCCCACCCTTTCCCACCCCTCTAGGCTGTTCAGTTCAGTTCAGTTCAGTCGATCAGTTGTGTCTGACTCTTTGCAACCCCATGAATTGCATCACGCCAGGCCTCCCTGTCCATCACCAACTCCTGGAGTTTACTCAAACTCATGTCCTTTGAGTCAGTGATGCCATCCAGCCATCATCTCATCCTCTGTCGTCCCCTTCTCCTCCTGCTCCCAATCCCTCCCAGCATCAGGGTCTTTTCCAGTGAGTCAACCCTTCGCATGAGGTGGTCAAAGTATTGGAGTTTCAGCTTCAGCATCAATCCTTCCAATGAACACCCAGGACCTATCTCCTTTAGGATGGACTGGTTGGAATTCCTTGCAGTCCAAGGGACTCTCAAGAGTCTTCTCCAACACCACAGTTCAAAAGCATCAATTTTTCGGCGCTCAGCTTTCTTCACAGTCCAACTCTCACGTCCATACATGACCAATGGAAAAACCATAGCCTTGACTAGACGGACCTTTGTAGGCGAAGTAATGTCTCTGCTTTTTAATATGCTGTCTAGGTTGGTCATTGTTTCAGAGCCCCAGTTTGTATCATAGTATTTTGAATATAGTTTCTTGTGCTGCACTGTAGGACCTGTGTATCCATCCTACATATAATAGTTTGCACCAGAGGACAGTTTTGTGCTGCAAGAGGATATTTCAGCTTTCTGGAACAAGGCCTTCCAGCTCCAGTTCCAGGCTGAGGAGCATGGATGCAGTCAAATGACTGGTTCTGAGAGGGGACTCCCCCCAGACCTTTTTCAGTTGATGACCATGCAGGTGGATTCTGGGCTAATGTGCATCTTGGCGCAGCTGGTTTCACTGGTTGCACAGCCAGGGCACCGAGCATCAGCTCTATGACATCAGTTTTCCCTTTTCGGGGAAAGTGGGCTTTGGATCTGCTGCCGTGATTTCTGCCTGTCACAAGCATGACAGGCCTAAGAGCTGGACGCATGTCTGTGGTCCCCTCGACCTCCCAGCTCTGCAAATCTGCACCAGATCCTTTATTCTTGCCTCCCTGGTCTGTCAGCTCAGGAATGTACAGGTGGCCAGGCCGAGTAATTCCACGCCACCCTCTTTAGGAAAGCGGAGAAGGTGGAAAAGTCTTTTATTGCCAGACTGACACTTGCTGTCCCTCTCAAATTGCTAACTGGGGGGCTCTGGGGTCTGACATTAGGACATGAGCATCAATTTTCAGATGTGCATGGGATTCTGCCTTGCTGGCTCTTTCTGCCTCCACTTCCCTATTTTAAATCTGATTCTGGCATTTGAAATGGTTGGATGGCATCACCAATTCAATGGATATGAACTTGGGCAAACTCCGGGAGATGGTGAGGGACAGGGAGTCCCACTGGGCTGTAGTCCATGGGGTCGCAAAGAGTCAGACCCGACCTGGGACTGAACAACAACAACAGCTGGAGAAATGATAATTTTATGAGAAACAGATATGCTGAAGGAACCAGGTGGTGGGAGCTTGGCATTGAGAGCTTCTGCCTCCGAATCCGTGACTTGACTTTGAAGATCATTCAGTCCACCTGTGCTCTGAACAGCGTTGGGGGGGTAGTAGACCACAGGGGTCGAGAGCCAGGGCTGCGGAGTGAGATGATCTCGACTGAAGTTTTATAATCATATACAGTAAGTCTTCTACATACGAAACTTCAAGTTTTGAACTTTCAAAGATGTGAACATATTATAAACTTATTACAGCACAGTAGGCAACTGTGTTAGTTGGGTGAACTATGCTTCGTTGCTCAGTCGCGTCCAACTCTTTGTGACCCCACAAACTATAGCCCTCCAGGCTCCTCTGTCCTTGGGGATTCTCCAGGCAAGAATACTGGAGTGGGTTGCCATGCCCTCTTCCAGGGTTAGTTGGGTACCTAGGCTAATTTTGTTGGACTTACAAATAAGTTTGACTTTCAAACGTGCTCTTGGAATGGAACTTGTTCCTATGTGGGGGATTTACTCTATCAGTTAGATGACCTTGGGTAAGATATTCAATCCAATTTGGGGAGAATTAAATAACTTGTAAACTATGCGGCATGGTAGAGCTCAACGGTGAGTTGGGTCTCACCCTCCTCCCTCTTTACATCTCCATCTATTCACCAACTTTTTGGCTTCTAATTCAGTAGAACATTTTTCTGTTGCCTCATTTCTGTTCTTTGAGCTGGGGGCTTTCTCCTGAGATTGTCTGGATTGGGTTCTCCTCCTCCGTTGGCTATGATGATAGAGGGACCTTTCTTTGGAGCGGGAGCGACGGGGAAGATGTTTTAGCATGTCCACCATGATGGTGTAGGGAATTTTAGGTCCTGCTTTCTCCTTGACGGCCCTGAGAGATGTCCACCCCTCTAAGAGTGTGAGAAAGTGGCCAGTGAGAGAGAAACATCTTCATGAACTGGAAATAACAGTGTCTTCTAAAGTTGGGGCCAAGGCTGCTTCTGTCTTCCTAGAATGATTTCCTAGCAGAACACCTTTTATCCCCTGGGCCTGTTAGCTATTTCAGGGACATTCTAAGTGGCTATTAACAAATGTTGAATTATGGCTGCAAACCTCTGGGAGCTCGAGTGACATTCACATGAATCACAAGTGAGCTCTGTGCAGTCAAGGCTGCCACAATGGGCTGGGATTAAACAAACAGGGACTGTTGTTCTCTTCTGAAGCAATGAGGCAAGAAGGCAGCTCCTTGGAGTCTGTGGTCTCAGGCAACATGCCTCTGGGAAGCAGGACACTGTTCCATGACACATAGCTCATTGCTGTAGGGAAGACATGCTCTGGGTTTGCAGAGAAGTGTAATCCAGCTTCATATCTGGAGGAATTTACCAACAGTCAGTATGCCCAGAGGGGTTTCCCAGGTGGCGCAGTGATAAAGAATCCACCTGCCAACGCAGTAGACACAAGAGACTTGGGTTTGATCCCTGGGTCCCAGAGATTCCTCTGGAGTAGGAAGTGGCAACCCACTCCAGTATTCTTGCCTGGAAAATTCCATGCACAGAGGGGTCTGGAGGGCTGCCGTCCATAGGGTCACAAAGAGTTGGATACTACTGAGCTACTGTACATATACACATGCATTATGTCCAGAGATACACTAGCCAGTCTCAGGGGTTATGAGTTACCCAGGCTACTGGGTCAGCCAGCATTGACTGAGTGCTTCCTAAGCTCTGGGCTAAACTCTAAAGAAATGGAAATGCGTAAGGCTTGGTCCTGGAAAGGGAAATGGCAACCCACTCCAGTGTTCTTGCCTGGAGAATTCCATGGACAGAGGAGACTGGCGGGCTGCAGTCCATGGGGTCACAGAGAGTTGGACACGACTGAGCGACTAACACACACACACACACACACACAAGGCCTGGTTCAGAAGGTCAAGGAGCTCATAGCCTGGTGGGGAGCAGCAAACAGATTCCGGGAAAACAACCGAAGTTTATACAAGACAACACAGGGGAGGCTCTCAAAGCCTT